GCCTATGCTTGAGGTAAATACACCATCCAGGGAATGTTGCACAATAGGTGTGAAAGTGGTATTGACCCAGCCCCTCTCCTTCCTGCTGGCAACCAATTGTCATTCCCTCCCACCAAAACACCTTGCTGCCAGTGGCGATGCAATTAAAGGGACGGAGAACTCATTTCAGATGCAGGTCTCTTATGCTCGAATTGCCAATCAGGAAAGGCGATTTTTCAGGTAACGGCGGAAATGCTGCCAAATCACCTCATTCATTTGTTCTGCATTCAAAGAAAGGCATATAGAGAAGAGGGAGGACCGAAACAAATATGTTGTCTACATGTTTTAATTTATCTCACCTTACACACCTTTTCTGTCCCGAGAAGCTTCTTCACTTCCTAGTCCAAATTTAAATTCAGAAAAATTCCTAAGCGGATTTTCTCAATTTAGCCACAATTTTAATCTTTGGCAAAAATGAGTGATGACTTCTTTCAATAAAATAAAAAATAAAAAACCCTGACAGGCTTACAGCGCACACCGGCGGATTAGTTTCCCGTGGAGATGAGGTTTACCTTTGTGCTGCCGTGTGTCTGTTTGATGGGGGTTTAACAGGAAGCGTTCATGCTGAAATTGGATGCAGACAGGGATAGTGGTGCGATGGCCGGGTTTTGATATGGACCCCACACAGTAACTCTGGTCTAACATAACCCTCATCTTCCTCTCCCTGAGGCCTGCCTTAACACATATGAAGACTACTATAAAGCAACAAACTGGAATGTTATTTAAACGCATATATACCTAGATCTAAAGGAAAATGCACTTTTCTCTGTTTATGCCAACTGAAAGTGGTTTCCGGAGGAAATATATCGTTCTCGCGTTTAGATAAATTGGATTCCTGACATGTTGCTGTTCTGCCAAGGATGCTGACAAGAGATGAAAATACCGTGCATAATGTTGGACTCTTGCAAAGCAAGATGATTATGACATCTCTTCGCGTAGAAACAGGCCGTTCTCTGCAGCGAAGCAAGGTTAACAGGTTGTTTACTAGCTAAATCAGTTCAGGGTCTTGGAAAAGGCTTCATGACAGTGCAATACATAAAATTAAGAGCTTTCTTCCAATTTGGGCAGTCTTAGACAGGAAGCATCATTTGAAAAGTATTAGGATCAACACAAGGCCCCTTCATGGGCACGTGATTGGGCGACTGCTGTCCTGGTGTGGCCCGCCCTCCTGTCCTGACCAGGGTTCATGAAAGATGGGCAAAGGCAGGCCTAAGCTCAGACTGTCTGAGACACTCACCAGGGCAGGATGGGTATCCTGTCCTGTCAGACTCATCCTCTCAATCATGCAAATAGGCATTTGTTAGTTGATTTGGCTGCTTTGATGCCCCATTATACACCCTGTGCTGACAGACATAGAACATTGGCTTTCCCCTGATTTGTACGATGTTGTGTAAACGGACCTGAAATCATGATGATATTTCTTATTTAAAGTGATGTATACTGTTTCATTAAAATGCTCCTGACAGTTATTTAGGCTTAAGTAAGGAATAATGTACATTCAGACGGTTATTACAGAAAAATAAATCCCTTTGATTTATCAGCCAATTTTGAGATTTTATAAAATAACAGTACTGGACGATATTGGATATTTAATTGTGCATGCTCAATTCTGACTATTTTTACATTTAGATCACTCTGGCCACCATCTAACACTCACTTAAAAATATTTATTGAAAATGCTAATAATAACAGTTAAATGTGATCTTTAGTCAATTTAAAAATGATTGCCATTGTACATTATACTATTGAGATCCCTTTAGTTTATATATATTTAATATATTTAGAGTGCAAGGTGTGTGTGTGTGTGTGTGTACAGTGAGTAGAAAGATTTACCCCCCTTTAAAATAATAATATAGTTGCTTTGCAGCCTGAAATGAAGATGGACAGTTTTTGTTTTATCCTGCTGTATTTATTCAGCGCAACTTATAACATCAAAGTGAAAGATACACCAACATGTCAGAAAAATTCAATAATGATAAACAAACAGAATCACTGAGTTGGGAAAAAAGGATCACCCCCTTGTGTCAGTATTTTGTTGAACCACCTTTTGATTTAATTACAGCCTTTAATCTGTTGGGATTTGTCTCTGCTAACTTTGCACATCTAGACTTTGCAATATTTGCCCACTCTTCTTTGCAGAACTGATCAAGTTCAGTTAAATTTGATGGTGATTTATGGTCATTGTCATGTTGGAAGGTAAACCTTCTTCCCAATGACAACTTTCTGGCAGAGGGCAGCAGATTTTCCTCAAGAATTTGACGGTATTTTGCCCCATCCATATCGATTGGTGTTGAGGCCAAATAAGTCAGTTTTAGTCTCATCTGCCTCAGAATGTTCAAGGTGTGTTTTGGCAGAGCTCAGTCGTGACTGCATGTGGCCTTTCTTGAGGAGTGGCTTTTTTCTTGTAACCCTCCCAATACAAGCCACATTTGTGGAGAATTTGTGATATTGTTGTCACATGCACACAATGACCACTCTTTGTCATAAATTCCTGTAACTGCTTCAGAGTTGCTGTAGGCCTATTGGTAGCCTCTCTGACCAGCTTCCTTCTGGCTCTTTTATCCAGTTTGGAGTGACGTCCTGATCCAGGGAGGGTCTGTGTTGTACCAAATACCTTCCACTTCTTAATAATAGACTTTACAGTGCTTCTAGGCATTGATAAGGCCTTTGAATTTTTTTGTATCCATCTCCTGACTTGTGCCTGTCCACAACTTTATCCCAGAGATCTTCTGACAGTGCCTTACCACCCATAGTTGATTGTTTGCTTCAGTTGCACTACCAAGGACTGAAACGCTCCGCGAAAGCTCTTTTCATGCTGAGCTAATCAAAATGACCACAGCTGATCACAGTTGAAAGTAAAATGGCTTTGTGTGCCATTGAAAAGGTGATTAGCTACAACTTATGGAGTTTTTTTAGGAGGGGGGGGGGGTGATCCTTTTTCCAGCTCAGTGAATCTGTTTTTTTTTTTTTTCGTTGGTGTTGGTGTTATATCTTTTACTTGGATGTTATAAGTTGCACTGAGCTGGATAAAACAAAAACTGTGTCTGTCTTCATTTCAGGCTGCAAAGCAATAAAATGTGATTATTTTAAAGGGGCGGTGATTATTTTCAATACCCATTGTACATATGAAGTTTTTATTTTTGTTTCTATACTATACTATATTATAGTTATATATTTTATGTTTAACATATTTAGACAAATAATTTAAAATAATAATAAAAATAATAAATAATTATTGGATATTCTTTTTACTTTTTTTATCAGTGCATCCGTCTATCTATACATATACCTTTTTAATTATAAAAAATAATAATACAAAATAATTTACAGATAATTGGTATCAAAGAGATACTTTTTTTGTTTTTATATTGGTGCATCCCTAAAACCCATTAATTTTTATTAATAATTCTATTTTATTAATTAATAAAATTATTGATTTTATTATATGAGAAGACGGAGAGCTTGAAGTGATACAAGCACCTGACAGCAACTAAATAAATTAATTAATCTGATTCAAGTATTCCAGAAAATCATATAAGCAAAATTTTATCTGACCATAGGCATTTTTATAGGGCAAAAATATCATAACACAGAACAACTATCACTTTAAATTCATAATATTTCCTTATGTCTCGTTTTCTGCATTACAACCAACAATAACTTTATCAAAAATAATCTGATCTGGATGCGTCCTTTGATGTGCACTTGTATTTAAGTGGTGCAAGTGCTGAGTTAGGTCTGAGATAAACCACTGGGGTGGCTTGCTAGTCTGCAGGGGTTTTTTTAGTAGAGAAGTAAGGAGAAGAGAAGTGTATTGGCTTGTCGTTTAAAGCCTCTGCTCTTGACCTACTTTTCTTAAATGGTGGTTCTGAGTGTGAAAAAGAGCTGTTTATCAGACGATGAAAAACATAATGACAATTTATTTATTCAAAGCTGAGCAGCCAGGATTCAAAATGCTGACCCTTAAGGGGGGGGCTGATGGTTATTTAGCAGATGTCAAATAAAAAGTGCTTTTAACACATTAGCATTTCATAAGGCAGACGTTTTAATCATCCTATATGTGATTTATAAGGAAAGGTAGCGAGAAGATGGTTTACTGTGGAGATCCAATGAAGCACTGGCACTCTTTGAGATTGTTCTTTGGAGATTTGGTCATTAGCGAATCAAAATTAGTTGAAGTGAGTCAAAATGTTCTGGTTTAAAATACAGTTCCGTCATATCGTTGGTCCCGAGTGGGTTGAGCAGGTGTATGGGGGTCTTCACGAATTCAGCGGGTGGGAACGTGCCGAGCGTAAACTAATTAGAGTCACGTCGCACTCATGAGGTCCATAGCACTTCAAAAAGAATTATTCAGACCTTCCCTTTATTTGATTACGGCCGGTCCCCTGACTTTCCCTTGCCAGCGACCACAATGCATTTCACCAATTAGCTGGTGCACCTGGCACAATTGATATGTTGTCAGAGAACCACGCTTGGTGCAGAATGCTTAATAGTTGCATCTCAATCCCCAAATTATTCACTAAAGCATATAAATATTTGATTCCTGTACCCTGTAGCTGTGTATTGGATCTTTTTTTATTCCAACCTCTATAAAAACACAGATGTTTAATATAATTTTTTTAGGTAATCAACTCTTCTCTTCCCTACTTTCTCTCCCTCTATATATCCTTTCCTCATTTACTATTTGAAGCAACTATTAGTGTTTTAACACCACAGGAAAGCGGCTTCATTGAAATGCAATGAAAACTGCACAGAAAAGGCAAAGTTAACTAATGGGCTCAAATTTTCAAACGAATGCAAGATTAAAGTCAATTGAATCTCCCATTGGGTTTTGACTGAAACCCTTTGAAAAGGAGCCCCGTAGTGGTTTTCAGAAATGAAAAATAGGACTTGTTCTAAAATATTAATAACATTTTATACCCTCATTATGGCAAAGCAATTACATTTATTCAGAAACTTACTTTCAATTCTATCTTGAGGTGATTCGAACACAGGTAATGCCACCATCAGCCTTGTGAACAGTCTTCTATGCTGTTCTCCAAATATACTGAACAGACACATCAGAGAAAGGGATATAATTTAATATAGGCCAAATTCAAATTTGATCTGTGCATTGTAAGTGAGAGCTCTAATACTCCATGTACCGGCGGCCTGTCATGAATCTCCAAGTGCGAACGCCAAATCTAGGTACGAGATGATTCCTTTCTTCACAGTCGTCTGGAGGGGAATCAGAATTAGAGATCTGAGGTGCAATAAAACAGTTGAATAGCACATAAACCTTTCGGGAGAGCATAACTAAGTTCTGTATGAGTGTTTTATATCACTCTTTGTGCACTAGACATCTCCCATCAACCAGTCTGGCCTAGTTTTCCATAACAGATGCCATTAATTAAATATATTACACAATGTGCACCCTCATAGATATAAATGAAGCATGCAATACAAAAACAATTTAGAGAGGAGATTAGGCGGAAAAGTTGCATTTGTTCTCCATTGACTCCTCTCGCTCCAAACCCCCAAGTTCCTCCCTGGCTCTTCAGAGGGTTTTTAGCATATCTCAAATCACACACCACAATCCGACAAAAAGCAGCACACTTCCTGGAGCTCACACGCATTCAGACGAAAGTGAGAGGGAGGAAGATTTGAAACTCGTCTCTCGTTCTCACTAGTGCACGCTCTGCCCGTAATGGGGTAGAAGTCATTAAAAACATCACTGCAGGCCTAATTAAGACGGGACATCTGGTCTCTCCTCACAGAACGTATCGCAACCGAGTACAAATAACTCCTCCATGACAAGTTGAGAGGTGTCATACATCTCAGTGATCGTCAATCAACAGGGGATTTAGGCAACTCTTTCATCGTTAACGAGCGAATGCTTTGTTTTCCCATTATAAGAGAAAACATTTTGACAAATTTCAAAAGGGGGGTTGGAAGCAGGGTGTCTTCTGTCATTTTTCAATTCCCCTTTTATGTTGCTGCCAATTAGTTGGTGTAAACTTTAAGTTGCCTTTGACAATGATGATTTTCGCATAGCAAATGCCTGTACAATGGCAGATCTGCCACTGGTTGGTCTGCAAGTGACAATACGAGGGAAAATGAAGATGGAATATCTGCGCTTTATTAAAAGTTGACACTTTCAGTGAGATCTGACTAACCGCAACGACCTTGAGCTTTTGTTAAAGCTATCAATACCAAACAACAAAATAATAATCGTTTCCAAACAGGTTTCCTAAACACACCCCTTGTCTTCTATTGTTTGCATTTAAATATATAAACATTCAATTGCATGCATTTATTTGTGAAAAATAACATTTGTATTTGAATAGTATTTAAAACAGCATAAAAAAGGAATATTGTAAAATATTACCAATTTAAAAATACATATATTTTTTATTTTAATGTATTTTAAAATGTGATTTTTTCCCCCCATGATGAAGGTGAATTATCAGCAGCCATTCTCCAGTATTTAGTGTCACGTGATCTTTCAGAAATCATTCTAATATGCTGACTTGATTATCAAGAAACACTTTTTATTATCAGCGTTGAAAGCAGTTGTGCTGCTTAAACTTTTTGTGGAAACCGTGATGTTTTTTATTCTTTTAATTATAATTAAATTTGATAAAAGGATAGTTCAAAAGAACAGCAGTTACTTGAAATATAAATCTTTTGTAACATTATAAATGCCTTTACTGTCACTTTCAATCAATTACCTTGCTAAATAAAAGTATTAATTTCTTAAAAAAAAAAAAAAAAGCGTTGACCCCAAACTTTTGAACAGGACTATATTTACAATATGTGCATACAAGTATGTGTATATATACAATATTATTATGAAATAATATTTCTTGGTATAATAATATATTAGATGCAGCATAAATTAAAAAAATGGATCACAAGAAGCTGACTAAAGCATTCACTGGATTATTTCTAGTGTGAAACTGCAAACTACTCAGCTTGTTTTAATACATCGATAGCCGCTCAGATGTTGTTCAGCATCATGTACATTTGGTATCCACTTGGTGATTCAATATGTTTGGGTATTTGTCACTCTTTTATGAGATTAGACAGCTTATCAAACATTAATAAGTGAATAGAAATTCACAACTTGCTACAAAAATGATAACACTTGCAAAAAGGCAACAGCACAAAGGGTTAAAGTTGTACAGCGCAAACCCTCTTAGAAAAAGAACAAAAATACAAAGATGGATAAAAAATAAATAAAGAACAAAGGCAAAACAACCAGACCTAGTCAGATGCGAAGGGAGACAATGCATGAAAATAATTGGAGCCCTAGGGGTGATATTTGTTCTCCTGAAATAATAATTACTCTTATGGACTGTGTGCAAACACTTTAACACTAAAATCATTTTCCTATCAATAATCATTTCTACAGTGATGTGGTTGGGCTTTCTTTATATATATTATTATTTCTGCACTTGATGCACTTTGCTGCTGTGATTTTTTTCACAAATATCACCTTGCATTTTAATTAGATAATAGAAACAGAACTCTATATGACTGAACCCTAGGACAACTTCAGTACACTTCACAGTCGAAAGGTGCTCTCCAACCCTGATTGTGTATAATTCTAATCAGAACCTGGCCATCTTATAGATAAGACAGAGTAGCAGATAATGCGTTAAAAAAAGCCCATCGAGTCTAAAATAAGGCAATTTCTATGTAAATTGGCAATAAAGCAGAACTTTCCTAACTGCTGAGGGCAGTCGCATTATTGACATGCAGGCTTTTCGGAAATTGTTTAACTACCTGATAGCAGGTATCTCGCCAGATATTTGCTTACCTTTCCTCTTCCATTAATGTTCCCTGTAATATTAAGCCATCTTCCATGCATGCGAACAATCGCTGCTCACTCTTTAGCATCTGATTAGTGGCTGGTAATTCTATCTCCACCAAACGACTGCACTGTAAGATTGCCCGCAATATTATGTGCAGGATAAAGCATATTCATCCATCTCGAATTGAACCCTGGGATGCATTATTGATTGACCAGCAAGATTGTTTCAGGAAAATAAGTGCCACTGGGTTATAGTTTAATGTGAATGATAATGCACAAGGGCCTTAGCGAACCATCAAAGCTAGGTCTGTTTTCATAGGTAGCAGCGCGCTTCTATTATGAAGCCCGAATCTGACTCATGCTCAGTCTTTGTTTGACGTAAAGTTAAGTTTCCACAACTTTGAAATGAGATGATAAAAGAATTTGGGTGTCAGCGGTTCTCTTGTTGTAACTAGTGCTTATATTTCCCTGCAGGCCTCCTAGAGGGATTATGATTATACAGTAGATTAACACTTTTATCTCTATCTGTGAGCAGCGAATTATCGGTAGATGAGGCACAAACCAACGAAACACATTTTATTTGTAGGAACTGCTCACAATATTGTTCTACCCTGTCGACTTTTAACCCCTGAGCTGATCGAACTTGCCTGCAGTGCAAGTCGAGGTAGAAGGAAACCTGATTGGATGAGATAGCCAATGTATTTCTATGTGTGCATGTGCCTGTGAATGACACTGTAAGCTTAAAATGTAAAGGTTAAACCTTTTGAGTGAGAACTAGATGTTATAGTATTAGGCATGTATGTTCTGTGTACCCAGTGAATGCCAGTTCATTCAGAGTCAAGGTGCATGGCCATGTCTCGTGCCCTGCTGAAATTTGTTTTGGGTTTCTAGTGGAAACAAACGTGGTATCATTCATTTAAAAGTCAAACATAGCAGGTGTAAATGTTACAGGGATAGTTTATCCAAAAATGAAAATTCTGAAATCAATTACTCGCCCTCATATTATTTTGTTTCTTCTGAATGTCTTCTGTCATCCATACAATGAAAGTAAATGGAGACTGGGGCTTTCAAGCTCCAAAAATGACAAAATACTCGAAAAAAGAACCCAAAATATAAGATGTAGAAGCAATTTTCTCTTAGAAATGGCTAGGAACCCATACATATATGTAAAAAAAAAACTTTCTACCAATATATTTTTGGCAATTTTTGTATATTTTTTTGTTAATATATATATTAGTAATTTTTTTCTTTTAAAATATATAACACATTTGAATAAAATTTTTCATATTATTTTGTTTCTTCTAAATGTCTTCTGTCATCCATACAATGAAAGTAAATGGAGACTGGGGCTTTCAAGCTCCAAAAATGACAAAATACTCGAAAAAAGAACCCAAAATATAAGATGTAGAAGCAATTTTCACTTAGAAATGGCTAGGAACCCATACATATACAGTGGGTACGGAAAGTATTCAGACCCCCTTAAATGTTTCACTCTTTGTTATATTGCAGCCATTTGCTGAAATCATTTAAGTAAATTTTTTTTCCTCATCAATGTACACACAGCACCCCATATTGACAGAAAAACACAGAATTGTTGACATTTTTGCAGATTTATTAAAAAAGAAAAACTGAAAAATCACATGGTCCTAAGTATTATAGCAGGTGTAAATGTTACAGGGATAGTTTATCCAAAAATGAAAATTCTGAAATCAATTACTCGCCCTCATATTATTTTGTTTCTTCTGAATGTCTTCTGTCATCCATACAATGAAAGTAAATGGAGACTGGGGCTTTCAAGCTCCAAAAATGACAAAATACTCGAAAAAAGAACCCAAAATATAAGATGTAGAAGCAATTTTCTCTTAGAAATGGCTAGGAACCCATACATATATGTAAAAAAAAAACTTTCTACCAATATATTTTTGGCAATTTTTGTATATTTTTTTGTTAATATATATATTAGTAATTTTTTTCTTTTAAAATATATAACACATTTGAATAAAATTTAGCAAGTAACATACTAAAACATTTTTAAATATATTTTGCTATATGAAGGTTGAAATCAAATATATTAAAAAAAAATATTGTTTCAAAAATATATTTCGTTGAGCTTAACACATTGAATTAAACTTGAAACTAAGTAGAAACACTGAAAAAGTATTCTCTTGTAAAATGTACACCAATAATCTTTAATTACAACTTTGAATTTTTTTTACAGTGTATATTACAAGCCATATTATAATTTTGTGTGTGGAGTTTTTCACTCAAAATCTCTCTCAAATCTCATTTTCACTTCCGTACTTCAAACTAAATGTGTACTTCAGCAAATGTCAATTTCTGCCCTAAAGATTTAAAATAAGTTATATAGGCCACTTCTATGGTGCTTTTGTGGGTGTTTTGGCCATTTTGAATCTTGACAGCT